TGTTGCTGCAGCTGTATCTGCTGCTGCGCCTTCACACCGAAGGCTTTCTGGCGCAGCAGCAGCAATTCTTGCTGCTGCTTGCCTTGGTAACTCTGATGGTGCTGCTGCTGTTGCGGGACTTGCTGCTGCTGCTGCTGCTACATCTGCTGCTGCTGCAAGTTGTGATGCAACTGTAACAGCTGCTGATCCACATACGGCGGCTGGTGCTGCTGCTGTTGCTGCAGTTGCTGTATTTGCTGCAGTTGCTGCGGCAACTGCAGCAGCGGAAGGATCTGTTGGTCTATTAGCTAAACAATCTACAGGAGAAGGGATAAAACACTGCTGCGTGTCTGCGTCAGCATCTGCTGCTGCTGCTGCTGCTGTTGCTGCTGCTGCTGTTGCTGCTACTGTTGCAGTTGCATCTGCTGCTCCTGCTGCTGCTGTTTCTGACGAAGCTGATGTATCTGGAAAAGACACGCATGCACGCGGCACAACACATTCTGTGCATTCTGCTGCTGCTGCTGCTCTTGTTGTTGCTGCTGCTGTTGCTGCTGCAACTGTTGCTGCTGCAACTGTCGCTGCTGCAGCTGTTGCAGCTGGCATCGCATCGGTATTGCAGCTGCCGCTGTGTGGTGTAGCTGCTGCTGCCGTTGCTGCTGCTACAGCAGCAGCATCCAGAGGCCCATGCTGCTGCTGTCTTGTTGGTTGCTGCAGCGGTGGCTGCAGCAACAACTCCTGTTGCTGCTGCTGCTGCTGCACCTCATCGGCCTGTGGGGCGGCTACACATACACCGGGTTGTGCTGCTGCTGCTTCCCCCTCTAAAGAAACAGAGGCTTGTGGATGATCTACATGCATGGCTAGGCCAGTTGCTGCTGCTGCAGCAGCTGCAGCTACTGCTGCTGCTGCTGCAGCTGTTTGTGCTGCTAGGTAAGTCAGAACGCGGCCGCCTTTGCTGCTGCTGCTGTGCGCTACACTGCAGCAAAACGTGCTGCTGCTGCTGCCTACAAAAACGGAAATAGAGCTCAGTGCTGCAAGTAGCAGCAAGGGCTTTTCTTGCTCCCTTGCTGCTGCTGCTGCTGTTGTTGCTGTTCCTGCGGCGGCGGCCGTAAGTGCTGCTGCAGCTGCTATTGCTGCTGCTGCTGCGGGCGTGCTCTGCCGCTGCTGTTAACGACTTGGGCGGGAGATAGCGCATGCGCTCTGGCGGGCCAGTAGCAGCAGCCGCAGCAGTAGAAACAGCAGCAGCAGCAGCAGCAGCACCAGTGCAGCAGGCTCGAGTTTAGATGCGACTTAGGGCTTATGCCGCGTGTGGGGGGGTAAAAAAGGAGATACCAGCAACAGCTGCTGCTCCTGCTGCAGAAGGTGTGCAGGGGAAAGGGCCAGCTGCTGCCGCTGCTGCTGCTGCCTGCGCGCAGCAGCAACTGCAGCAGCAGCAGCAGCAGCAGGACGTATGTTGCTGTCGGTCTGCTGCAGCTAAACAGGCGGATTACTAAGAAAGCGGATTCTTAAGAACACCCAAAAATAACCTTTGCCTTTTCTACGAGGAGCTGCTGCTGCTGCTGCTGCAGCGGCTACTGGCAGCTGCTGCAGCAGCCGCCGTAGCAGCAGCAGCAGCAGCAGCAGGTTTGTTCAGGTCTTCTGTTGTACTACACAGCAACAAAACTCAGTTCTTCCCCATTAACTTTCTCTTCCTTAACACAAAATTATTTGCTGCTTTTGCTGCCTCGAGACGTCCTGCTGCTGCTGCTGTTGCTGCTGTTGCTGTTGCCTTTGTTGCTGTTGCTGTTGCTGTTGCTGCTGCTGCTGCTGTTAAGACACTTGCTGCTGCTCGTGACCCATTCGTGCGGCTGCATGCCAAACCCCCAAGGCATTATGCTGCTGCTGTAGTGTGTGCTGCTGCTGTTGCTGCTGCTCAATAGCTGTATCTAATTCTGCTGTTGTTGCTGCTGCCCCGCATGCAAGCAGCAACATGTGTGCAGTTGCTGCAGCGCAGCAACAGATTTTGCTGCAGTATGTTCTAATAGCAACAGTGACCACAACGAGTAGAAACTGCAGCAGCAGCAACAGCAACAGCAGCAGCAGCAGTCGTGTCCTGTAACACCTACAGACACGGCTAGACCGGTAACTGTAGACACACGAACTACAGCAGCAGCAGCAACAATAGCAGCACGTAGAAGCAGCTGCAGCAGCAACAGTACCTCTGCTGCTGCTGCGGTGTACGTACAACTCCCCTCTTCTTAGCTATGCATGCATCTTGGAGCAACAACTCGTTGGCTCCGTGAGCAGCAGCAACCGCAGTTGTCGTAGCAGCTGCTGCAGCAGCAACTGTAGAATCAGCAGCAGGAAAAGTAAGTATAGCAGCAGCAGCAGCAGCAGCACCAGCCGCAGCACGAGTTAAGGTGCAGTAATTGCTGCATTTGTTGTACCTGCTGCAGCAGGAGCAACTCTAGTAGCAGCAATTGAACAAGCAGCAGCAACAGCAGAAGCAGCAGCAGTTAGTCAGCTGTCTAGGAAAGACTCTTTGAACTCTGCAGCAGGAGCAACAGCAGCAGCAGCTGCTGCTGCTGCTGCTGTTGCTGCAGTTATTGCCATAGCAAGCATGTGTTTACCCCTTGTACTAAACCCTACAAAACCCTAAACCCTCTAAGTGCTGCTAACATATAAGAAAACCCTAAACCCTAATAAACCCTAAACCCTAATAAACCCTAAACCCTTGTAAACCCTAAACCCTAAACCCTCATACGACCTAATACGTAAAAGAGAAAATGTTGTTGCTGCCTTTGCTGCAGTCATAAAGAGAGCAGCAATTGAGGCAGATGGGCCGCATTATACTGCTGCTGCAGCAGCTACTGCTGCAGCTGCTGATGCAGCAACTGCTGCTGCTGCACCTGCTGCTGCTGGTGCTGCTGCTGCAGCAGCAGGACAGCAATTGGGGAAAAGAGCAGCAGCACCTTACATGCCCAACTTGGTGCGTCTCCAGTGTCTCCTCTTGTTGTTATACCTGCAGCAGCAACACCAATCATAAACAAAGGATATATGCTACTGCTGCTGCTGTCGCTGTTGCTGCTGGTGCTACTGCTGCTTATCTTGCTGCTGCTGCTGCTGCTGCTGCTGCTGCTGCTGCTTACTTGATCTTGCAGTCAGTCTTCATCCGTACCCAATGAGGGATCGGACGATTTTGTTTTTGCTTCTTGCCGAGCCTCTTCTTGAGGTTTAAACCCTTAATGGAACCCTGCAGCAGCAGCAGCAGCAGCAGCAGCACAGCAGAAGCAGCAGCATGAGTAGCAGCAAGTGTGGTAGAGACGCATGCAAGGAAGATTACAACTGCAGCACAGATAACACAAAAACAGCGACAGAAGAAACGCCAAAAGATGCAGCAAACTAGCAGCCCAACACCGCTGCTGCTGCTGCAGCAGAAGCAGCGGAAACTGCCAGAAGTGAATCAAGGAGGAGGAATATGCCGCAATGACAACACATCTGCTGCTTTTGTCTCGGCTGCTGTTGCTGCTGCTGTTGCTGCTGCTGCCGTTGCTGCTGGCAACAGCGGCATGCGTAGCAGCAGCAGCAGCAGCATCTGCAGCAGCAGGTATATATCTATTTTTATGTTAAAAAAAAAGAAATCAATATGAAAAAGGAAAGAGAGCAGCAGCAGCAACAGCAGCAGCAGCAGCAGGACCCACCATCTTCACCAACAGCTGCGCAGCAGCAAAATAATTGGGGTGTATAGGCAGTTCTTGTTTGTTATTAATTGCCTTAAACCCTCTATTTAATAAAATCTAACCTTGCTGCCTTCCTTTGCTGCTCATGCTGCTGCTGCTGATGACGATTGGGGCTTTCCCCACAGGGGCAGCTGCAGCCGCTGCTGCTGCTGCTGCTGGCCGCAGCAGCAGCGCCCCAGGAGCAGCAGCAGCAGCAGCAGCAGCAGCAGCGGATGCAGCAGCAGATGCAGCACGTTAGCTAAGGAGGCTGCTGCTGTTGCTGTTAGGTAATAAGACCTTTAAGGAAATAAAATTACATCATACTTTATAAACAATTAAACAATACACAAAAATAACGCTACCCTATATTTGCTGCTGCTGCTGCTGCTGCCTGCGTCATAAGTCTGCTGCTGCTGCTGCTGCTGCTGCAGCAGCAGCAGCAGCAGCGTGGGCAACAAAGACAAGAGGCTTAAAAAAATGTTGCTAAGAACACATTAAAATAAACGGCTTAATTATTTATAGCGTCTCTATTACTTCTTGTAGAGAGGTAGGCAGCATGCAGCTGCTGCTGCTGCTGTTGCTGCTGCTGCTGCAGCAGCAGCAGCAGCAGTAACATCAGCTCATGGGCCATCGACGCGACCGCAGGGACCCCAGGCGGCAGCAGCAGCAACAGCAGCAGCAGCAGCAGCAAACACCTTTCTCTCTCTGTCTTAACTTATCTTGTATATTTGCTGCTGTCTTATTTGACGTGTTGCTGCTGGTGAGACACTTGATTGCAGCAGCAGCAGCAACAGCAGCAGCAGCGCGGGGGTCGCTGCTCTCCGACCACCGGATCGGTCTCCGCGTCAACTAACAGCAGCAGCAGCAACAGCAACAAGTGCTGCTCCTGCTGCTAGAGCAAGTTATGCTCTAATAAGGATTTAGATTTAGTTTTTTTTGCTGCAGCAAGAGGCAGCAGCAGCAGCAGCAGCAGCAATTCGCCTCTTCTTCTTGAGTACACCGCACACTCGATCCTCCGTCGAGGCAGGGGACACACAACCCCAACTGCAGCAGCAGCAGCAGCAGCAGCAGATTCAACTAGAGCAGCAGCAACAGCAGCTTCTGCGCCGCTGCTGCTGCTATTGCACACACAAATGTGCAGCACCTGCTGCTGCTGCTGCTGCTCCCCTGCTGCACCTCCGCATGCTGCTGCTGCTGCTGCTGCTGCTGCTGCAGCTACTGGCGCAACTGGACTCTAAAGACCATTGACTCATATAAGCAGCAGTAACAATGCAGCACAACATCCTGTTATTGAGGCTGCAGCAGCTGCTGCTGCTGCTATGCGTA